TCAAGAACCAATTTATTACAAAGAGCCTCACAAGCCACAAAACTTCCCGAATGAAGAAATTTGCCACACAAGGGACCAAGTTAGTTAAATTTATTAAATTTTGAAAGAAGCAAATAACAAGGGCACCCTTTACCAAGGATCCTAGTACAAATTAGTATTTGTAATATTCATGGAGCCACTTGAAAATTCTACCAATAACTTTTCAATAATTACAAGCTTTTTTTAATGCAATCATAGGAGACGGCAAACAAATAGTTTCAAGAAGAGAAGTGGTCTCTGTGAGTCCATATGGTCTCATAGACATTCAAGTAGACAACCGGCCTACTCTCCAATGGTCTCATAGAGTCGATCTCCCCTTTAGAATGAAATGGTCAAAGCACAAGGTTTTTAAACCAATGTAATCAACTTTTCAAGCAACAAACTGGATTTATAGCCCGAGAAAAAATCAAGACTAATAAACATGTTAAACACAACAAAGTTTACCAATGCCAAGGAGCACTCTGACTTTATTGACACCATTTACCACTGACAATAAACACAGTAGAAGTATACAATCTATGTTTATTATTTAAAAAAGGAGTATATTAACAATACTCTCTAAAGTGAGTAAAGTCTAAACAGGTACATACTTAAGACCTTAACATTACTCTCTAATCAGGTAGAAACAGAATGAATTGTTTAAGAGCCACTCACAGGTAGCATTCAGTTAGTCAGCCTACACTTCTGAGAACAGCTTAAGTAACGCAAAGAAAGTTGGTGATACTGGATCTTCAGTTGAAGGCCTCTTAGGATACCATGATTATTATTAAGTTCACCATTAAAGGAACTCAGAAACAAGCTGTTGAAAAGCAGATATCTCTTCCCGTCTATCTTATAAAGATGATTATGATACTAAAGCTATAAACCGCCTTGGGAAATCACAGACATTGTGCTATGCTCACTAAAGCATGTATGATTATGTAGTCAACATTTTTGTACCCTTGTCTGTGAGTCACAACTTGGGTAGGGAGCCTATATATCCCATCTATGAAAGATATAAATAGATCAGCATTAGAAGAAAATTTGTAGACTAACTTTCTTCTATCTTCAAAACTCTATTCGAGTTCATCACCATCTATTAATGTCTTTGCCAGCCAGTATATCCTAAAAGATCTATGGTGATACTCATAAACATCAACTCTACAAATTTAGGCCTTAGCCAGCTAGAAAGAAAATGTATTAGTGGGTGAGGGCTTATTGTCAATGGAAAAAATAATGGCTGGAGATAGTAATAATGAAACTAGAAGCATTGAAGAGGAGACAAGAGGACAAAAGTTGGGGGGTATAGGAGATGATATTTAGACAAAAAAAAAATGAAAAGGAGGATAGATAAAAGACAAGAGAGTACATATTTTACTGTAATAATCTTCATAATCCATACCAAATTTAATATCTTAGCATTATTCTTTCTTCCAATTAGGTGCGCTTGCTTGAAAGAAAAGTGCACATGAAATATTTAATATGGTAATAACATATACTAAGTTTTACCAGGCTATTTTATCCCAAAAAAAGAGTAAGGAAGCACAAGGTTCCAGCCGTAAAGGTGAAGATGATTCTTCTATGAAGAAAATATCATTTCAATATACTAGTGGCAGAACATTAGGGGGAAAATCCAATGTCTCAGACGCGTCAAAGGTAGAATTATAGCATACCACTGTATCCAGGTGTTTGTCAAATATGAACACAAAATATATCAGTGTAACAATATCGGGGTTTCTAGTGAACACTGGTTCTCTGGAAGAAGGACCAGAAGCATATGCAATCCTCTTACTAAATCACTAAAGAGAATTGTTCACAATCTAAGAACTACTGTAACTAACTGTCAAAATTTGAGCTCTTTCCTCCCCGTTGCTTATCTATTTAGCCTCCTTTCTTCTTCTAATTACACTGCAATATTCATCACCATGCCCTCCCCTACTATAAGAGTCAAACCTAACAACTTAACTCTGCCCAATATTAGAGATTAGTACTTTCATTCCAGTTAAAAACAATGTGAGATGCAAAACTTTGACTGCAGAGCAAACAGCTTTGTTCAAGTTATGTCCCAAAAAAAAAAAAAAAAAAAAAAAAAAAAAACACTATTAATCAATGTAAAAGTAAATAATCAGCATTTCAGTCAACAAATTCTTTGTTTTTTTTCCCCTACTTTATACTACTTTTTAGTTATTATACTGTGATCCTCTTACATTAATATAAAGTAACTTCACTTTATTGACCAATCTTGTTCAATATAAGAACACTGAACTTGTTTTAAAATTGAAAGACTTACTTTGGCTCTTTGTTGTCTGTTGAGCTGCAAGCATCCACACACGCCCTCTTCTTTGATCTCATGTATTCATAAACCTTATCAGACCAGCCAGATGTTTGTAGAGCTAATGCAGCCTCCTTTTGAAGACTGGATATTCAATAAAATATCAACATAAGAAAAACTCTCGAGAAATAAATTCAGCATTTAAGTAAACTGGTCATTTAAGTAAACTGGTGCACGAAAGCATATGATATGCAGCTAGAACTAGTACTAGCAATCTCTTAAATGACATGGACAAGAAAACATAACTCTACTCGACTTAGAAGTAAAACTGAATAAGCATCACATGATATGGCTATCATATAATAATCAGCTAAACGATTTTTATTTATACTTCGATCTTATCAGTTATCATCATACTCTATTATATTCAGCTCTAACTTAAACAAATTCAATTCAAATAAACAAAAATAAAATAAATAAATAAATAAAAGAACCTGAATAAATTCAAAAGACTTCATGTCAAAACACATAAACCAGTAACAAAGAGTGCAACGAGCATAGACTTGCTACAATATCAGTTGTACATAAGCATATCATCCTTTTCTTCTTATTAATCACTAATTAATATTCATATATTTCTGTTTTTAAGAGTGTTGTTTCATAACTCAAAAGTAGCTATTATATAATATAAAATGGAATGTGTTGGTTACTAAAATTATTCCACATGTTCTGTGACGTAAGAATTTCCTGAATAGGGGGGTGGGGGAGCATAAATCCACTTCTTATGTTGTGTTGTGAGTAGGGATATCAGTGGGGCGGGTCAAGTAGGAGACCCGCCCCATTGGGGCGGGGATGTTCTCGATTTGGCGGGTGGTGGGGCGGGGATGGGGATAAAAACCATACCCGCCATGGGTAATGGGGCGGGGGTGGATTTTAAGTTGTACCCGCCCAATCTCCGCCCCGCCCCACTTCGTACCCGCCCCATCCCCACCTCATACCCACAACTATATATCTTTTAAAGCAAAATTACATACTTTTATTCTATAAAATAATTACATAAAATACAATATTAATTATAATACTTTGTACGACACATATTAGGTGGGGATGGAGATGGGGATGAAAATATTAGGTGGGGATGGGGATGGGAAGGCCAACATCCGCCCCGCCCCATTGACATCCCTAGTTGTGAGGAGTGAGGGGGGAGGGGGGTGGGGGCCGAAGGAAAACTTGACTCTCCTTTGTTTGTTTACACATCCTATTCATGAGTTTGGGATGGGAGAAGAGGAGTGCATTTTGAATAAAAATACATACAGTTCCTTAAATTCTTCAACTTTAGCCCGGGATTTGGCATCTTTGGCTAATAAAATGCATGAGTCTCTGTCTTCCAAATTTCTCTTGGAGCCAGGGAAATCAATACACTTATAACTGTGACCAATATGAAGGGCACCATTGTCCAGCTTCTTCCCTGCACTCTCTGCATTTTCCAGCTTTCTCGGGCCAGAGAAATCACTACGCTCATTTCTTTGACCATTATGGATGACGCCATTATCAATCACCTTCCCGGCAAACTCTTTGTTTTTTAAGCCATTGTCTTCAGAGAGACTTCCTTTTACAGGACCGAGATTCCCATTCTTGAGATGAGTATCACCATTTATCAAAACCTGGCTACTTGCAACGGCATTTTGTTCACCATTCCTACAGTTTCCATTGTTATTTTGCATTGAATGCACATTGTTTCCATTCATCTGCTTACAAACAGAATGGCTCAGTTTTCCATTACTTCTCACAGCGTCCTTTTTTTGAACATCAAGTGTCCCATTATCACTACCAGAACTCTTTTAGCAAGTGAATTTGTGAGGCCACTGAACTTATTTTGTAGAATAGCAGAAGCATCAACATTTTTACTAGCAAGTGGAATGCCTTTAACAAGAGAAGGTGCATTAGATAATTTCATGTTCATTGCTTTTGCAGCAATAGAGCTCCTCGGAGACTTAGGCATGTTGCTGCCATTAATCCCATTAGGCTTCACTCCATTTAACACAGTAATATTATCAACAGCAACAGGTCTATGGCCATTCCGGGTGAAAAAAAGAATATAAGCTTTCTCAGAAAGTGCTTCTTGCAAAGTTGATAATGTCACATAAGAATCATTGCAGCAATACCAACGACCCATCACATCCTGCATATATTATAAATAGAAAGGAAAAAAAACAGATAATAAGCAACCAATCTATTCATTAAGTCTGCAAATTATGTATGTACAAAGGTCAAAAGTGAACCTTAATGTATGAATAATAATGTCCAGACTCAGGTGAAAATCCTGAATGCACAATGGTAGCAAAAAGACTATATTCAGGCTGAGGATCCTGCAAAAATTACATACAGATTATACGACAAATAACAGAGACAGTATAAGTTACACGATCTATTTGATGCAATCTCCTCTCCCCCAACTAAACCAAAAAGTAACAATTCATTAAACATACGAAAAAATTGACATCAACCACTAAACAATTTATATGTAACACCCCCAAAATTCGAGTCTTTAAAAACAATAAGTGTAACCTTTAACTTTTAAAAACCCAACCATCGAACTCTGGAAGTGTTACTGCTACACTTATTTTCCGTAGAAAATAAATGCAAAGCAAAAATAACATAATATTTAAAATAACTAAGTGGTCTAAGTTGTGGCAAAATAAAATAGTCATTACATCAAAACTGCAATTATTTGAAACCAATAACTGAGAGGAAATAATTAAACTCGGGGATAAACTAAATTGTCTTAGCTACGTGATTATTCTAACGTCTCATCACACGTAACCGAGTACCCTTTCTACCAACCTGCAAAATAAATCAGAAACGAGAAAAGAGAGAAGACTCCCAAAAATCAGATAAACTGATTAATTCCAACTCCATCCCGTAAAATAAATAAATTTTAGTTTAAAACAATTTATACATAATATAGTCTCATAAATATTTTAATACTCAACCAAGTTCAAATAGTCACATAACATATTATTACTTTATTTAAGAAAGGGAAAGAGAACGCCAGTAAGCCGGGACTAGTACCTGTCACCACCTACTTTACAGAGGGCCGCGCGTCACCCCAATTGGCCATAAAATAAAACAGAATGTCCCTAGTGTGCACACCCCTCACTAATACCTAGTGATTAGGAGGAAGACTAACAACAATATACAATAAATTAAACCAACTAGTAGCAACCATCACTACTAGTGGGCAACCTGTTCTTCACCCTTTTGGGTTTCATTTCCCTTCTTAAATTAAAATTCGCTGTACATTTTATTAGATTATATCATCCAATTACACTGTACACAAGTATTGCACAAATCAATTTAATTTCAAGTAACAACACATCAATTTCAGTATTATTAGACCATAGTCATCCTACATGACATATAGACCATCAATCACATATAATCAATCATCCAATACCCAAGATTATATTTAAAAAAAAAAACTCATACGATAACAAATAATCATATTTTTTTTTTGAAATTACATATACTAGTACACAAAATAGAAAACTCATATATAATATATGATTCCATAATAACATACGATAACACACTCATCACATATAATTACATAAGCACGTATTTGACACATAATATTTCAAAATAATTTCCTAACGGGATTCTAAAGATGATGGACATTGAAAAGTACCTTGATTGTGCGTAAAAATTCAAGGTAATTAACTCCGGAATGATCACCTAGTAGCCTCCGTCTACAAATAGACAAATAAATAGCCTAAATTAGATAATTGTACGACTAACGGAAAAAAAAGAATTGAGCGTAAAATTGATTTGTCACCACCCATAGTCTAATCACCCCAAAAATAGACAACTAGATGAACTAATTGATGAGTCAAACGTGAGATATTATATCATCATCATCATAATCACCTACCAAACTTTCGAACCCAAGAGCCAGAACATCCACCACAAAGTCTAATTAAGTGAACCAAGGAGAAGATCAGTAAGTAATTAAATAAAGTAGATAGTAATGATCAATTATCATACCCAACAATGAGGAAAGTGACGAGTTGCTTTCCAAAGTCGGTATTTCGGCTTCGAAACTTTTTTTTTTTTTTTTTTAAATCGTAATGATAGTATTAGAAAGATGAAACATATATTTATAAATCAATCTTGAGACTCTAGAAAGTTCATGGGATAGGATCAAAATTTTAACTGATTTTGTTATCAGCCTTTATCCACCTTTGCCAATTTTTTTTTCCAGTATGCAAAATCCGTTTTTGTAAATTATCCAAAGTCAATTTTTTTTTTTTATCAAATCCGAAAATAATAATAATAATATTTTTACAATTTGAAAATAATAATTAGTTTTAAAGTTTATTTATTTTTGAAAAGAAATCGTTGACTAAAAAAAATACTCCAAAATTAATACTCCAAAATTTGGGGTATTACATCTACTCCCCCTTAAAACGAAAGTTCGTCCTCGAACTTTAAAATTAGCTCTCAAAAAGTCTCACATGAAGATAAAAGATAAGTTAGTATTACATTCTACCCCCCTTTAAAAGTTTCGACCTCGAAACTTGGCATACCTGGTCGAAAAGTTATGGGTAACGTTTTTTCATATCATGCTCAGCTTCCCAAGTTGCTTCTTCAGAATTCTGATTAGGCCATAGGACTTTAACTAACTTTACCGCCTTAATTATTTCGGGTACTTCTCGTTTTGGTGTCGAGAATTTTCACAGGGCGTTCTTCGAAAGTTAAGGTCTCATCTATCTCAATAGTCTCGGGTTGGATAACATGGGTAGGGTCATGAACATACTTTCGGAGTTGGGAAACATGAAAATCATTGTGAACATTGGCTAACTCCATGGGTAAGGCTAGTTGATATGCTACCTCTCCAACTCTCTTCAATACTTCATACGGGCCAATGTATTTAGGACTCAAATTCCCTTTTTCTACCAAACCGCATGACTCCCTTGGTAGGTGAAACCTTAAGTAAAGCCTTTTCCCCAAATTCAAATTCCACTATTCTCCTATTCTGGTCTGCATATGACTTTTGTCGATCCTGAGCTGCCTTCATGTTTGCCTGGATAAGCCTAACTTGCTTCGTTGTTTCTTCAATCATTTCTGGCCCCAAAGTCAAAGACTCACTGATATCGCTCCAACACAAGGGACTCCTACATTTTCTCTCATACAACGCTTCATAAGGTGCCATTCCTATACTTGCATGATGGCTATTATTGTATGAAAATTCGATCATAGGTAATCTTTTGTCCCATGCTCCGCCAAAGTCCATCACACAAGCTCTCAACATGTCCTCCAAGGTCTGAATTGTTCTCTCTGTCTGTCCATCTGTAGCAGGGTGAAATGCTGTGCTAAACTTCAGGATAGTGCCAAATGCTTGCTGAAACATTTCCCAGAACTTTGATAAAAATCTTGGATCTCTGTATGAAATAATATCTTTAGAAACTCCATGTAGTCTCACAATTTCTTTCACATAGGCAGCTGCCAACTAATTCACATTCCAAGTATCCTTTATTGCTATGAATCTTGTTGTTTTCGTTAAACGATCAACTATGACCCAAATAGCATTCTTTGCTGCCCTTGTAAGTGGTAATCCCATCACAAAATCCATAGAGATAGACTCCCACTTCCATCCTGGCACATCTAACTATTGTAGCTTCCCTCCAGGTCTCATATGTTGTATCTTCACTTTCTGACATGTAAGGCACCTTGCCACAAACTCGACTACTTCACGCTTCATGTTTGGCCACCAAAAATGTTTCTTAAGGTCCTTATAGAGCTTATATCCTCCTGGGTGTACAGAGTACGGGGTGTTGTGAGATTCTTCTAAAATCTTCCTTTTGAGATCTTCATTTTTAAGAATACACCATCTCCGTTTGTATTTCACTGTTCCACTATCATCAACATCAAACTCAGTTGTCGCCCCTTCTTCTTTCATCTTCCTCACCTTGGTCAACCACTCATCTAACATTTGCTTCTCACGAATCTCATCATATATGGTAGGTTTGACTGACATTGCATTCAACTGAGCGTTCACTTGGTCATACTCTATAACTTCCAAGTTCAACTTCCTAAATTCTTCACAAAGTTCCTTGGCTAAAATCATCAAGTTCACTGTATGACTTGTCTTCCTACTCAAAGCATCAGCTACCTTGTTCGCCTTTCCTTCGTGATACAGAATGTCTGGGTTGTAATCGGTTAGCACCTCAAGCCATCTCCTTTGCCTCATGTTCAAATGAGTCTGTGTGAATATGCATTTAAGACTCTTATGGTCCGTATACACCTTAAATCTCACACCATACAAGTAGTGTCTCCAGATCTTGAGAGAAAACACTACCGCTCCTAGCTCCAAATCATGAGTAGGGTAATTCTGTTCATGTTTCTTGAGCTGCCTTGATGCATAAGCTACAACCTTCCCATGTTGCATAAGTACACACCCAAATTCAAACCCCTCAGTCCCTGATGTTAAGGTTAAGACTGGTGCTGAGGTGAGTCTTCGCTTCAATTCTTGAAAAGATTGTTCACACCTCTCATCCCACTGAAACTTAGTAGTTTTCTTCATCAAATTTGTTAATGGTTGAGCTATCCTCAAAAAAACTTGTACAAATTTCCTATAGTATCCAGCAAGCCTTAAGAAACTTCTCACTTCGGTCACACTTTTGGGTCTTGGCCAATCAGAAACTGCTCGAATCTTAGATGGGTCCACCGCAACTCCTTCCTTTGAGATCACATGGCCTAGAAATGCTACCTTCACTAGCCAAAATTCACATTTTGAAAATTTGGCATATAACTTCTTCTCTCTAAGAATCTCCTATACTTTTCTTAGATGTTCTTTGTGCTCTTCTCTATCCCTCGAGTACACCAAAATATCATCTATGAACACCACCACAAATTTATCCAAATATAGCTGAAAAGTTCTATTCATGAGATCCATAAAAGCTGTCAGCGCATTAGTGAGTCCAAAAGGCATAACAGTTAACTCATAATGTCCGTATCTTGTGCAAAATGCTGTCTTTGGTATATCTTCCTTAGCAATCCTCAACTGGTGGTATCCTGTCCTCAAGTCAATTTTTGAGAATATCCCAGCACCTTTAAGCTGATCAAACAAGTCCTCGATCCTAGGCAATGGATATTTGTTCTTTATAGTGACATTATTCAACTCTCGGTAGTCAATACACAACCTTAAGGATCCGTCCTTCTTTCTCACAAACAAAACCGGTGCTCCCCAAGGTGACACACTTGGCCTTATATAACCCTTCTCCAGTAACTCCTCTAACTGTACCTTCAACTCTTTCATCCCTGCTGGTGCCATTCTATATGGTGCTTTAGAAATAGCTCTAGTCCCAGGCACTAAGTCTATTTTGAAATCCATCTCCCTAACCGGCGGCATCCCTGGAATTTCATCTGGAAACACATCTTGGAATTCTCTCACCACTGGAATGTTTTCTATGGATTTCTCTTCTACACTCACATCTTGCACATGGCATAAATAAATAGGGTATCCCTTTCGGATATAAGAATGAAAAGTCATGGCTGACACAATACTGATCCCTGGTTTTGACACAACCCCCTGGTAAGAGTATCTATTCCCTCTTGGCCCCCTAAGAGACACCTTTTGGGTATGACACTCAATTCTAGCCTTATATTTACTAAGCCAATCCATCCCCAATATCACATCAAAGTCAGTTAAGTCAAACTGAATAAGGTTTGCAAGCAACTCAGTTCCAACAATGTTAACTGGAATGTCTTGGTATAGGGATCTACAAGGAACTACCTCCCCTGAAGGAATTGTTATGTTGGTTTGATACAAAGATGAAGGTTTTAAAGCATGTTTATTCACGAAAGAAGTGGCTACAAAAGAATGAGATGCCCCAGAATCAAAAAGTAAATAAGCAGGTTTTGAGTTCACGAGAAAAGTACCCGTCACAACATCGGCATTAGAGTCAATCTCGCTCTGGTTCATGACATAGATTCTTCCATTACTGGTCCTACCATTGCCATTGTGGTTGCTTCCTCCGCCATTTTTGTTGCTTTGGCCATTCCCTCCTTGAGCATTGCCATTTTGGCCCTGAGAATTGTTGTTGTTAAAGCGGTTGTTGTAGTTTGAGTTCCTCCCATAACCACCTCCCTTATTGCCATTGTTGTTACCTTGCCCATTCTGAGCTTGATTATTACCATTCTGCTTCTTTGGGCACTCAAATTTCTTGTGACCAACCTCCCCACATTCAAAGCAAGTAAGCAAACTCCATTGCAGTTGCGTCCTGGATGGCTCTTGTCACATTTACGGCATGGTCGATTGCGAGATCCTTGCTGATTCTGTTGTCCCTGGCCTCGGTGATTATTGCTTTGATTGTTGTTGTTACGGCCTCCCTGCTGACCATTTCCACCATTCCCATTGCTATTACCCCCTAGGCGTGGTCTCTTGTCATAACCTTGAGGGTTCGATGAACTCTCACCATTTCCTTTCCTCTTATGCCTATCCTTGACCTCCTGTTCACGTTTCAAAATCCTTTCAATATGATCATAGGCCTCCTTATAAGTAGCAGCAATACCAGCCCCGATCACCTTCTTTTGGATCCTAAAAGTCAGTCCATATTCAAACTTCTGAGCCTTGGATCTCTCATCAGGCACTACATTAGGACAAAACCTTGCGTACTCATTAAATTTCTCAGCATACTCCTGCAATCTCATATAAGTTTTTTGGTTAAACCTACTAAACTCACTGTATTTCTGCCTCTTGATATGCTCAGGAAAGAAACGGTCCCTAATTGCTGTCTTAAAAGCATCCCAGTTAAAATTATGTTGAGCTCTTATGGTGGCTTCTTCATTTTCCCACCAAATATCAGCAGCCTCACGTAAATAGAATGTGGCTTGATCCACCTTCTGAGCATCAGGGGTACCAGCAGCAGTGAAAATCTTGTCAAAGTCACGTACCCAATTCTCAACCAACATGGGATCTTCCTTCCCCATAAATAGCGGAGGTTTCAATGCAGCAAGTTTCTTAGCCATAGCAGCTTGAGGGTCGTTGTCATTATTGTTGTGGTTGTTGTTGTTATTCAGCTGGTTTTGCAACAACATTCCAAGGTTCTGGTTCATTTGCTCAAGAGCTCTTAACCTAGCAGCAAGTTGTTCAGGAGTCTCAGCCATTTGTGCAATTCTTCTCCAACGAGACCTGGTGTATACGTGGTAATTTTGCATACACATTCTGCACAATTTCAACACTGGTGTTACCACCATACACATTTTAACACGACTTATTTAGATCGTGTGAATTACAATTAAATCATCAACCACGACATGCTTTCATGTAACACAGCAGCACATATAGAGACAA